GATGAGCTTATATCTTCAAAAATATCAATAATTAAGAACTGACATTGCTATCTTGTGAACTATAGACATTTTTAAAGATATAAGCTCATCCCGATGTTATACTCATCAATAGCTTTCATTTGAGTACCCACATGCATTTTTAATATATTTTTCATATATACATATATATAATATATTCAAATATATAAAATATATGAAAAAGTAATGTGGGTACTCAAATGAAAGCTCTTGAAGAGTGTAACATCGGAATGAGCTTATATCTTCAAAAACGTCAATATTTAAGAAAGTACAGTGCAATTTAACAAAATTCATTATCTAATAAATTAAAACTTCATTTATTTATAGTTTACAAGTCACGGCAGTCACATAGTGACTGCAAGGTTGCTAGTCTTCAATAATTCTTTTTCTTAAATTCGAAATCTTTTACCTAATTTTTTTTACTCTTAAAATTCTAGCCAAAACTTATAAATTAAAATTTAAAATTAACCTTTAGCTGATAGAAATTAAAATAATTTATTTGATTTCTTCCTGAAGATATCACAGTATTAAATCATATATTATAATACCAAGTAACTGAATTATAAGTTAGATGAAGAAGATGATAAATATAATTGTCAATGATCTTTAGGTCACTAAAAATTTAGCTGTCGTATGGCCGTCAGCCATTCTTGAAGAAGTTTAAAACTCGTTCTCCGACGCACGCAGAATTTGCGTTATTTTTGTCATCATCTTGAATACAGTAGCAAGGTGTAGAAAGAGTTAGTAATACACATAGAGAAGAGAAAGAGAAACAGAGAGAAAGCATTTTGGATGAGCGTTGGCTTAGAACAGAGTCTGCCGGTCGGTTCGACGATCTCGACGTAGTCTTCCCGGTGCTAGGTTTCCTATTCGAACGAATTTAAACGATTGTAATTTTAAAAATACGTGTCAGTATAAATATCTCTTTTTAATAATACAATTATCAAGTGATCTTGAATAGTGTCACGTGGTGAATAATCTTGAGGTTCGTTTTGATATTCTTCTTCTTAATCATTTCTAATAATCACATCAATATATCAGTCTAATTGTTGAAATAAATATTTAATTAACATATCACAGAATTATCTAATTTTCGAGAAGATCATACAGTAGATTAGGCTGATGAGTGATTTGTGAACTACGTGTTTACTGACGAGTATGTAACATTTAGGAAGAGGACAGGCAGCTGCATCTAATTTTATGTCTCTCGCATTCATTTGTGCTTTTGCTTTTACTCTGGCATAAATAACTTTTGTTATAGTGTTTTCTTAATTACAATTGTAATTTTAATTATAATTGTAGCTAACTTTCAAAAACAGGTGTCGTTGTTAATTAACTTAATTATTCAAAACTTTTACTTCAATATCTGTTAATTAACCGGTAATTTATTTGATTTATAATTAATTATTTAAGGTTTTAGATATTTGTTTTGATTTAAAGAAGAAATAATTATTTTTGGTTAATTATTTGACAATTTATAAAGTGGAACAACCAGCTTAGATTTCGTCTAACCAAATACACACGCTGGTGGTCATCTCGATTTATCTCTGATTTATTTGCACGATACTTTGGTATTCTGCCAAATGTCCGTGGCTCCAAGAGCTGTTTCATGATCCACGCGCTGGAAGGCTAATTCATAAGAATATATATAAATATTATTATTTCGTGGAAATAAAAATTTTGTTTATGAAGAAATAATTTAATTAAATAATATTACATTCAAATAATTAAAAAATTAAATCATTTTTTATGTTTAAATTATGATTAAAAATTTTTACAAAAAAAAAATTAATTTTGTTCTATGATTAAATAATGACTTTTGTTGAATTGCACTGCACTTTCTTAAATATTGACGTTTTTTAAAATATAAGCTCATCCCGATGTTACAATCATTAAGAGCTTTCATTTGAGTACCCACATGCATTTTTTATATATTTTTCATACATATATATATATAATATATATAAATATATAAAATATATGAAAAATTGATATGGGTACTCAAATGAAAGGTCTCTATGAGTGTAACATTGGGGTGAGCTTATATCTTGAAAAATATCAATAATTCACAAGATAAAAGGTAATTTCTTAGTTATTGACATTTTTAAAGATATAAGCTCATCCTGATGTTACACACATTAAGAGCTTTCATTTGAGTACCCACATGCGATTTTTATATATTGTTCATATGTACATATATATAATATATATATAAATATATAAAATATATAAAAAATTGATGTGGGTACTCAAATAAAAGCTCTGGATGAATGTAACATCGGGACGAGCTTATATCCTTAAAAATGTCAATAGTTCACGAGATACAAGGTCATTTTCTAATTATGTATCTAGAAATAGAGCATTTTCGAATGCAGCATGGAAAGAAAATTTTTCTTATTTTTTTAATAATATAGATTAGTTTCAGCTTATTAAAAATCATTAGAAATTGTTTTCTTCTTTTTTATTTAATTTGCTATTAAATATCATTTTTTAATTTTCTAAATTATAATTCATTAAAAAATTTTGTGGTGCAATTAAAAATTCTAAGCGTTAAATCGTAATATTTAATTTAATCAAATTCATTCCAATTTTATGGATTGTGTCTATTAAACTTGTAAAATTACTCAGTGACCTGTAAAGTGAAATTATTATTTGTAAATAAGTGTGCAAGTTTAAAAATAAAAATAAATCAACCGTCTTAAATTCCGTCTCATGCAGGTCAAGCTTGTAAAAGCGCATTAAAAAAATGACAATATTAAAAAACAGAAATTTAACACCTGAAAAAAAATTTATAAATTAAATTCAACTAATTATAATTGCACAATAAACAAATTATATTGATCAGCCGACGTGATTAAATTAATCAGGACAGAGTGACTATTAATAGAGATATGATTCAATGAAATAATAGTATGAAGCCATCATCAATTTATTTTTATCATTATAGTGTCAATGTAATGATTTAAAAAAAAAAAAAATTAAATTAAATTAAATTAGATATATTTTTGTTAAATTAATTCTAACTATGGAGCCGCTGTTTTATAATTAGGCATAGAAAGTTTGGTAGTCTTTTTAACAGCAGTATTTCAATGTCTCTTGTCCATCATCAGGTGGTAAAAAGAAGCCAAGGGAAGAGACGAGGGTATTCCTGTTTAGTTGTGTGGACAGAGAATAATAGCGACTAGACAAGGGCGTGTGCGTTGGCTCTGCCAAAAGGTTATTGCCAATCTATTGATAACCCCGATTAATCATGATCGTTGTTTTTTTTTTTTTTTATACAGGAGGAGGAGGAGGAGGTGAGGAGACAAAAGCTACTGCGGCCAAGGGGGTGGAGGACGCTAAAGATTATTTTTCACCTCTTGGGGACGATATGCAGGCTTCAAACAGTAGCGAGTCACACTTGATCACCGAAAGAAAGACTTTACCCAGTGACCAAGTGGATGAGAGTGTTCTCACTAAAATGTCATCTTCTTATACTTCGTCGTCAACGACCCAGTCTAGTTGCACTAAAGAATTTAAATCTTCTACTACGTCGTCTAGTGTTATAACTGAGCCGCAATTTAGACCAGCTCCTGGCAATGTTGTTACTAAAACTCATGTTGAAAGCAGAGAATACAGTTCTCAGGAGAATGGAGGTCCGCCAGTTGTTCAGGTAAATTTAAAAAAAAAAAATTCAGTTTTTAACTTTTTCAAAGTAATTGAAATAGCTATTAGAAAATTTAACTTTAAAAATAATTAATGACTTTATTGACAAGCTTGGGATCTTTTAAATAAAAATTTATAAACTACAAAATTTTTTTAATATTTTAAATAATTTTTAAAAAATTATGAAAATTAAAAATAATTAGGAACCTTGCAGTCACTACGTGACTGCCGTGATTTATGAACTATAAATAAATGAAATTTTACTTTATTAAATAATGACTTTTGTTAAATTGCACTGTACTTTCTTAAATATTGACATTTTTAAAGATATAAGCTCATCCCGATGTTACACTCTTCAAGAGCTTCCATTTGAGTACCCACATGCATTTTGATATATTTTTCATATATACATATATATATTATATATATTATAACGATATAAGCTCATCCCGATGTTACATTCATCAAGAGCTTTCATTTGAGTACCCACATTCAATTTTGATATATTTTTCATATATACATATATTTAATATATATAAATATATAAAATATATGAAAAATCGATGTGGGTACTCAAATGAAAGGTCTTGATGCGTGTAACGTCAGGATGAGCTTATATCTTTAAAAATGTCAATAGTTCACAAGATACAAAGTCATTTTTTAATTATATATCTAGAGATAATGAAAAGGCACAACACCAGATTAATACATGCGTCATAAAATTTTGCTTATTCAATTAATAACATAGATTAAACTATAAATATTAAATTTTAATCAAAAAAATTTTAATAAAATAATTTTTGTTTATTTTTTGACTTTTAATTTTTTTTAAATGTAAATTTTTTACTAAACTATTTAATAGAAATAAATAAAATAAAATTTATAGAATTGGTCCATATAAAAATAAAATAATAAATTAAACTACATAAAAAATTTCTATATATACTCAAAAAATAAATATTACAAATTTTTTTTATAGGGGACTATAATTTGATAACTTTTTTATAATATAGATTTATTTAAAAATAAATATGGTGAATGACGAATATCTTGATTGCTCATTCATGGAATTTAAGAATTATGTTCTATTATAAGCCTGTTTACTCATTGTTAGCTATATAGAGTTATTAGGCTGAATTAGCTTCGCTGGTATTTCGTTGGTGTTTACAATATACATGTAAATAATATTTAGTTTAATTTTAGTATCACAACTTGCTGTATTATTTCGACTTTATTGTTAACTTAATTTTCTAGAGCCACAAAGTGGAAGAGTACGAAAAAATAGTTCAAGACAGCCCGGGTCAACTGAGACAAGAAAAAACTAAAATAGTAACAGAGGGTAATGTTGCACTGAAGATGCAAAAACCAGCGAGGAAAAATGTCGCTCCTAGATTCGTCTCACCGCTCACGGGAATGATTGTCGATCAGGGCCATGACGTTGTCCTTGAAGGAGTTATTGATGGTTAGTTTAAAATAAATCTTAGCTAATAGCTTCACTGTAACCGAATATTTATATAAACTTTTGTTGCATTATTTTATTTATAATAAAAATTTTTTTAGGTTTTCCGACACCTGTAATCACTTGGATGAAAAACGGCCAAGATGTTAAAGACGGAGTGAAGACAACATTTGAACACAATCATGTGCGCCTTGAATTGAAAAATGTCAATGTTAGAGATGCGGGTAGATATACTTGTACTGCTGTCAATGATATTGGAAACGCTAGCAGTACAGCGGATTTAGTTGTAAAAAGTAAAATATTTTTCTTTTATTTTAATTAACTAATTAATTTTTTAAATTGTAATTTTAATATTAATTTTATTTATTTATTTATTTAAGAAACTATCTTCCCCCCGGTCTTTGGTAAACGTCTTCAAGCTCAAGTAGTGAAGAAAGGAGAACGTGTTATTATGGAAGTTGAGATAACTGGAACACCTGAACCAACAGTAACTTGGTACAAGGATGATGAACCTTTGATAGATGTTGATGGCCAACTGAAACAAATTGGAAATTGTTATTTATTAATTATTGATGCAGGTAAAAGTTAAATTTTAAATTTACATTAGAAAAAAATATATAAAATTGTGTTTTATTAAATAATGAATTTTGTTAAATTGCACTGTACTTTCTTAACTATTGGTATTTTTAAAGATATAAGCTCATCCTGATGTTACACTCATCAAGAGCTTTCATTTGAGTACCCACATGCATTTTTGATATATATTTCATATATTCATATATATAATGTACATAAATATATAAAAAATTGATGTGGGTACTCAAATGAAAGGTCTCAAGAAGTGTATTGTCATAGTGAGCTTATATCTTTAAAAATATCATTAGTTCATAAGATACAAGGTCATTTTTTAAATAATGACCTTTTTAAAGATATAACCTCATTCTGATGTTATACTCATCAAGAGCTTTCATTTGAGTACTCACATGCATTTTTGATATATTTTTCATATATACATATATATAATATATATATATATATATATAAATATATGAAAAATTGACGTGGGTAATCAAATGAAAGGTCTTGATGAGTGTAACATCAGAATGAGCTTATATCTTTAAAAATGTCAATAGTTCACAAGATACAAGTTCATTTCTTAATTATGTATCTAAAGATACAGCATTTTCGAATGCAGCCCAAATATAAAAAATATTTAATTAATCAAATAATTTAAAAACTAGCCGAAAAACGTCATGCTGGTAAATACATGGTTCATGCATCAAATGCTGGTGGTGAAGGACAAAGTATAGCTGATTTTGCAGTATTCGAACCAACTCCAGATACAATGGTAGAAGTTCATAAAACAATCGTTTATGAAAACGTAGCTGACAAAAATTTAAAGGTAATATTATTAATTAAACACAACCTAATATTTTTAGTAATAAAATATTCTTATAAAATAAACTAAATATTAATCATAATTTATGTATTGAAAAAAAAAAAAAAAATAATGATAGTTGGAAGAAAAGAAGAGCGAGCTACCATCAGCAGCCTTAACAGCCGAGCACATAGCTACCACGACAATCCAACCAAGTTCAACCTTAAAAACCCTCAACCCTACACCTAGCTCAACATCATCCAAAATCCGTAAAATCGAGCTTATAGGCCCTAAAAGTAACCAACACACCGAAGAAATCGTAGAAAAAGCAACGCGATCCGAAATGATATCCTCGACAATAGAGTCTCACCAAAGTGAGACGAAGTCCGAGCAGAAATTCCACATGAAACTCCAGCACCAAGCACCCTCTTTATTCGAGGGTGACTCCAGTACTCCAGCCGCTCCCACAGTGACAACCACCACCACCAAAATCAGCACTCATGAGACTCAAAAAGGCGGAGAGCCCGTTACAACTCGTACAACTGAGTTTGTAGAGTCTAAAACGCTCGAAAAAGAAGCCGAAGAAAACGAAAATGTCGAGACGGCTACCATAGCAAAGAAAGATGCATTAAGTTTCTTCGAATCTATGTCAAAGGACAGCGAGATGACTCCAAAAGGTCCCAAAGCGATGATTAAACTTACCGAAGAAGACAAGGAAGGGAATTACGATGTAAAGGTCGATAAATTAACGAAAAATTATGAACGTTCGACTAAATTTGAGGAAGTTAAAAAACCAATTCCAGAAACTTTAACTCCAGCGAAGAAATCTGTTCAAGATATCTCTCACAAATTTGAAGCTCCAATAATAACCAAAGGTGTTGACAATGTGATGATTGATTTCCCCTACGACGATTACAAACTACCGGCTCTAAATATCCAACGAGCCGTTCTTGAAGACACAACAGCCTCCGGGTCTCCTATTCACGGCACGCTAACTATTTCCCGGCTTGTCGCGCAGTCTGAAAGCGCCGAAAAAATGTTATCAGGATTTAATCTAGTGCCCGAGCCACCGCCAGAAATTGGCTACATGCCAAAGCCGGATGAAGAAGTTAAAAAAGGAATTGATGTGTCGTCCAAAGCAAAACAACTCCAGGAATTTCAGAAGAAATCCGTAGATGCTCCTATTGGTGGCGTTAAAATTTTCCCAACTGCTAATGCTCCTCAAAAAACTCCTCAAATTCCCGAAACTAAACCCAAGACTACTTACATTGCTCCGCCGTTTGATCTATCCGAGAAAGAATTCTGTAAAAAAGAAGTAGTTGAAGAACGTTGTATCAAAAAGGATGTTCATAAAAAAGAAGACCAAGAAAAGTGGTGGTCCTCAACCTCAGATCTAGAAACCAGGTCTCATATTTCCACAGACTTATCAGATTATAGATGCCAATCAGGCGCCTCAAGCCAATTTGAAGGCCGTCCGAGTTCTCCAAAACCTTCAGCAGATGGTATTGCTATGGAGAAATACTGGGCCAAGTCAAAAACTACTGAAGCTAATAGGAAATCCTGGCCACCTCCAGCATCAGCTGGTAATGGTAATGGTAAGGAGACTACTAAGACTTTTACTAAGAGGGAAGAGTGGAAGGAACCTGAAGTTGGGTACAAAACTTCGACGCATGAAAATAGGGATGAGGTTGAAGAAATTCCCGGGGGAGGTGTTACGAAAACGCATATTGAATCTACTAGTAGTTTGGAGACTCGCTCATGGAGTACTAGAGAGAATCAAATTTCTCAGACAGTTATTGAAGAGCCTCCTAAGAATATTGTTAATAATATTGTTAAAGCTCCTGCTCCTGCTCCTAAACCTGCACCAGCTCCTGCACCAGTTACAATGTACAAAGCAGAGACTACAAAAGTAGACCACATTGTTAATTCAATGCAAGAGAAATCTATAATGGAAAAATACTCTTCCGAGTGTGAGGTCAAAAAAATGGAGTCTATGGAGAAAAATTATGAAGAATTAAAAGCTCCTGGATTGGTTAAGGCTATTCCTTCAAAACCAGTCGTTCAACTTTACCACTCTCCTGGAGATAATATTAAACCTGAGCCGATGAAAACTTTCCAGGAGTCGGCTTCAATGTTTAAAGGAACCTTAGCTACTGCTCCTAAGCGTCCGGTTGTTCAATTGTATCACCCAACTAGTGAACCTGAGATTATTTTGGAACCGGGTCCGCCTCCTGAAATTGGCTACGCTCCACCTCCTAATGAGAATTATGAGAGGAAGTTTGAGCGGTTTGAGAAGACTATTGAGATGCATAAAAAAGAAGATGCTCCGCCAATTCCGCCGAAAGATGCGCGGAAAACTCCGCCGCCGCTTCCAGCGAAGAAAACAGAGCCGTTTTCTTGCGGAAACTTTGCTAGAGGGCAGTTTATTGAATCGGACTATGAGTCTGATTTTGAGTCTTGCAAAAAATGGCGGCCTTGTGAGAGTGAAAGTGAGGAGAAGAAGTACAGAAGGGTTCAACCACCCACGCCAAGGCAACCTAGGCCTAGATCTACGGAGCCTGGACCTCCGCCGCCGTCTAGCTTTGAAGTTCCGCCGCCAGAGGTCACTGGGCCGCCTAGGCCTGATTATTTGACGGAGAGCTTGAGTTCTTGTAAGAAGAGCAGCACTATGATGAGCAGGCAGGAGAGAAGCGCTAAGCAGCAGCAGCATTATCAGAATCAAGGATTTTCGCAGGATTCGGGGGTTAATCTTCCCAAACCGGGATCTCCGCCGATTTATGTCACTCCTGAGCCTCCTAAATGCAAGAGCAGGGTTTTTCAGCAGGAGAGTGGGTACATGGCTGATACTGATGAACCGTTTTATCAACGGGAGGCTTGTAGTTTGGTTCAGAAGACTTGTGGAAAGAATGAGGGGTCTTCTATGTCTTCTTATGAGTCTAAACAATTTATGGAGAGCAAAAGTTATGTGAGCTCTTCGAGTAATCAAAGGAGAGAAGAAATGAATTGTGTCTCTTGTCCTGGGCAGACATCTTCTTGTAACGCGCCAACGCAACAGAGGATTTATGAAAAGTCTTATATACCTACTGCACCGAATAACAACTCTAGATGTTTTAAAAATGACAAGGTTCGGGAATTTAATGATGTTGCGTGTGGAAATCTTTTTGTTTTTTAGTTTGTGTAGATTTTTTAGATTTGTTGTAATTTTTTTTTGGCTTTTCAGCTTAGATTTAACTGCATCTAATTTTTGCATGACTCTTTAAGGAAAATTGAAGAATATAAGAAATTTTTTTATAATTTTGTTACTTCAGGGAAGAAATATAATTTTAATTATAATTTAAATGGATAATTGAAATCAAGATTAATTTTGCAATTTTAAAAAATTTATTTGGTGAAATAGAAACAGGAAAATCATTGAAATAAATTAAAATTTGTTTCATGAAGCAATAGAAAAATTATCGTAGCTTGGAAACAGAATAACTTTACAAAAAATTCATTATTTAGGTCAATTTTTTTTTAAAGATTCATTTTATCCCTAAAAAAATTTAGTATTTAAAATTGATACCTAATTTAGTGTCATTTAATAATAATCTCTGTACGCGCATGCGCGTTATAACAGCTGAAGCTTAAAGTGAAGAAAAACCTGCGAAATATTTGTATAAATTACTTCATATTTTTTTTTTTTTTCACTTTAGTGTATAAATTTTTTTTATTAAAAATTTAGTGCGCATTTTGAACTTTAACTAATTTTTGTTTATTATTTTAAGATTTGTGTTTTAGAGTGTGGATACATTTGTAAGGGATTTTTTAATAATTAATACAAAAAATTAATTATTTATTTTAGGAGGAAACGAGTTATTCCTGGTCACAAAATCAAAAAAGTTCAGCTACTAGTCCTTCCAAATTCGCACGCGGCGAATTTCGAGAAAGTGACTACGAGAGCGACTACGAAGGACGTATTCCACCTTTATGGAAACCTCGAAGTGAATCTGATTTCGAAGAACATCATTCATATAAATCAGTTAAATCAAATTTGTCAGGTAAAAATAAACTTACTAAGTTTTTCGACCGCATTTTTAGTAGAGAAAAATAAATTAATTTATTTTAATTAAAATTGAAATATGTATTATAAACATTGTAAACTACTATACTATATATTATTAATTAAATTAATTTTGTTTGAAGTAGATTCGCATGAAGAATTAATATTGAGCTACAGCACGAGTAAAAATAAAACTTTTAACGAAAACTAACTTGGTACTGCTATTATATATTTTTCCAGCTTTCAATCACTAACATCCAAGCTAGTACTACTATTCTCAGGCAAGATAAATAATTAGCTTCAGGTTTCGTTGCTTATACTTTGCTATTATCTATTTATTTTTTCTGGCTTTTTATGCATATCATTTATAATAATTTGATACTGAAAAAAAAAAAAAATACTTGATTTAAAAAAACTATTATCTTCAAAAATAATTTTAAAAAGAAGAAATTTTTCAAACAATTGATTTTCTTCAAAATAATTTTTTTGAATCAAGTAGTTTTTTTCTTATGAGAAAAATTTATATCACAAATATATATTAAAATTTTAAAAAAGACTAGCATAATAAATAAAATTTTGCTTTATTAAATAATGACTTGTTAAAGTGCACTGTATTTTATTAAATATTGACCTTTTTAAAGATATAAGCTCATTCAAATGTTTTACTCATCAAGAGCTCTCATTTGAGTACCCACATCAATTAGTCATATATTTTTCATATATACATATATATAAATATACAAAATATATGAAAAAATTGATGTGGGTACTCAAATGAAAGGTCTCAATGAGTGTAACATCAAGATGAGCTTATATCTTTAAAAATCTCAATAATTAAGACCTGACATTGCTATCTTGTGAACTATTGACATTTTTGAAGATATAAACTCATCCCGATGTTACACTCATCGAGACCTTTCATTTGAGTACCAACATGGCATTTTTGATATATTTTTCATATATATACATATATAATATATGTAAATATATAAAATATATGAAAAATTGATGTGGGTACTCAAATGAAAGGTCTCGACGAGTGTAACATCGGGATGAGCTTATATATCTTTAACAATGTCAATAGTTCACAAGATACAATCTTAATTATGTATCTAAAAATTTTCTAAGATATCAATAAATTTTAACTATCGTTAAAATATACAAAAATTAGCTCTATTTTTAATTTCAAAATACATTTTTGATACAAATTTTTTCATAGGAATTCAGTATAACAACTCACTATATCTATCACTCTAATATATTAATATTTTCTCGATCTAATTCAATAAGAAAATGATAAATGAATATTATTGCGTAGAATATTTATTATTATAGTTTGATTTAAATTAGCAACCAATTATTATTTACACTTAAAAAACTTTATTTGCGCTGTTGTTCGTGCTTTTGCATAACAATCATATCGTGGTACATCATCACTCAGAGACTCTCTCGTAGGAAAACCGATGAAACCGCAAGAAGTCGCGGTATCGCAGTCTTCGTGTCTGGCGAAGAAGATGGAGTTTGAAAAACTGGAGCGAGAAAACAGTTGCATTAGAAAGGAGGATAAAAAATCACCATCAAAGCCAATTCCGATGCGTCAAAAATCTGTACTGCTTCCCGGGTCGCCACCAGAGATTGGTTTTGCTCCACCACGGCCTCATTCGTTTTACGAGGGCCACTCTGGAGTCCCGTCTTCATCATACCACAGCGGGACAGTCGGTACCGAGATGAAGAAAACAGTACGAATGGACGAGTCAACAGAGAACACTCGGAGAATTGTCACCGTTGAACAAACCAGTCGCGTTATTAAATTCGGAGACAATCAACAGAGTCGTCCGTCGGTATTTAAAGTACCGACCCCCACAAAATTTGTCCAGGGTCATTTTCGCGAGTCGGATTACGAGAGCGACGCGGATATTGGAAAGATAAAAATAAGACCCAAGTGGGCGCCAGCGGAGAGCGACACTGATGATCCGCATTATCGTAAAGTTCAGCCGCCTAGATCATCCAGTGTCCCTCCACCGCGTGAATCTGGTGAGAGAGTTGTCACTCCCATGGAGTTTGATCGCCCGCCCGCGATGGCTGGAACTGCCGAGGCTCAAACTTATGAGCAGCATTTGCGCCAACTTCGGCAAGAAAGTGAGAAATTTAAGCGTGAGAATCGCAAGAGCTACGACTGCTCCACATTGCCTCTTGATAATAAAAAACGAGAAAGCAAAAAGATTGGTGATAATTTCACTGATCTCGCGGCTACGCAATATGGATTTATGAGTAATCGTGACATGAAGAATGCTGCTAATCGTAAGAAATCTTGATATTTATTTTTATAAGTAGCTCATTATGAGGATTGTACAATTTTGCGGGCTAAAAAAAGTTTACTAGGTTAATTATCTCGCTGAGTTAATTAATTAGTTTAGCTAAGTGGTTAACGGGTTAATTGATTCAATAGATAATTTGATTTTTCATGGGTTAGATAATTAGGAGAAAATTTTATTAATTTTGCCTTGAGACCTTTTCAGCTGATTGTTTTTAGTCGTGAAATTTTTTTATTTATAAAATAAATTATTTTTTAAACCTAATTAAATAATTTTTAATAAATCTTTATTCAATAAATTATTTTTTTATCTTCATTTAAAAAATTACTAGCAACTTTGCAGTTACTATGTGATTTCCGTGACTTGCGAACTATAAATAAATAAAATTTTGCATTATTGAATAATGACTTTAGTTAAATTGCACTGTACTTTCTTAAATATTGACATTTTTAAAGATATAAGCTTATTCTGAAGTTATACTCATCAAGAGCTTCCATTTGAGTACCCACATGCATTTTTTATATATTTTTCATATATACATATATATAAATATATAAAATGTATGAAAAATTGATGTGGCTACTCAAATGAAAGGTCTTGATGAATGTAACATCGTGATGATTTTATATCTTCAAAAATATCAATATTTCACAAGATAGCAAGGTCATTTTTTAATTATTGACATTTTTAAAGATATAAGCTCTCCTTGACATTACACTCATCAAGACCTTTCATTTGAGTACCCACATCAATTTTTCATATACTTCATATATTTATATATATCATATATATGTATATATGAAAAATATATAAAAAATGCATGTGGGTACTCAAATGAAAGGTCTTGATGAGTATAACATCGGGATGAGTTTATATCTTAAAAAATGTCAATAGTTCACGAGATAGAAGGTCATTTCTTAATAATTGATATTTTTAATATTAGATATATTCATATCTACCAAATTAAATTTTTTCAACAAATCCCGTTAACTACAAAATTGTACACCCTAATAATAACCTACTGGCTGATAATTAACGTTTGTACAAATAATAATGATAATTATTATAATTAATTAATAATTTATCACCGCTTCGCATCATGGAGATCAGATATAGATTTAGCTGAAAAACTAGTTAGCTCCATTTGGTGTTAGTCTTATGATTTCTTTTCTTTATTATTTTTATTTCGTTTTTCTTCTTTCTCTTTTCTTCTATCTTCTCTCTCTCTCTCTATTTCTTCTCTACTCTTTAAATTATTGCCTTAAAAAAAAATTGGCTATAAAGTCTAAGTGGCTTATAATAATCAGACGTAGCATCGAAGCACATGACGGACATGACAAGCAGCTTCAAGGCAAAGACCGAAAAGTTTGTAAAAGAAATCCAGTCCGATCTGAAGCACCAGAGCAAGCCGATTCTAAAACACCCGGCAGAAAAGCACCACCAGGATCCGGATCAGTCTCAAGCTTATCGCGAAGAAAAACGGATGTCCCAATACGGTAAAAAATCTCCGTCATCTTATTAATTTAAATTACAAATTAATTATTTATAATTATTATTACGGTAAATAAAAAAAAAAAAAAAAAAAAAAAAATCAAAGTACCAATTAGCGAGACATTAAATCCAGGCACCAAGCACATTGATCCGGACACAGGATTGATCTACTTCAAGTACGACTTCGGGTATGAGTTTGGAATCGTCCTTCCAGGAGAATCCAAGAAGACTATAGCCAGCAGCAATAAAACGATCCAAGGCCAGCGACGTCCAAGTGACATCGAAGTTCCTATTTCTCATGAGTTCACCAATAATCGCCAGGAGAATGGGTTCACTCACACTCGCACTCCCTGGCAGTCCAACAACAACAACAACAACAACAACAACAACAACATCAACAATAACATCAACAACCAGCAGAAAAAATTCTCTCCCTCGAAATTTTCCACCGGAAAAACCGTAAAGTGGGAGCCAACATCCGAGAGCGAATTTTCGGAGGCAGAGGACTCGATTCGTCGGAAAAAACGTGGAGTTATGCCTCCACCTCCGAGTCTATTGATTCCTCAAAGTCCCAGCTCACCTAGATGGGACCCAACAACGCCTTCGCCGATGTCGCTCAGCCCTAGTCTTCCTAGTTTCTCACCCAGACACTCCAGCGCTACTACGGGGCCACCCAGCAACGTTGACTCCATCGCAGGTATCTCATTGCGTATTCATCCCCTCGAGATTTAAAAAAAATGTAATGAAAAAATTGAAAAAAAAAAAAATTAAATGAAATAATTGAATTATAAGTATGGATATTTAGTAATAATAATGTTTAGACAGTCAAAAATTCATTAATGAAATTCATTAATAAAATCATTTAATTCGCATTAACCTCATCTGCAAATCTGGACTCGTCTTGGGTACTTTTGCCTGCAAAAAAAAAGCTTCGACTCTTTGCTGCGCTGCAATTTTAAAATAATTGTAATTTGTTATTAAAATTGAATATTGAGAATTTATGTTAAATGGGTTATATTTATATAATATGTAGGCTCTATTGGTGAATGTTTCTTATAGTGAGGGATCGCCGAAATAGTCGTGGGCCCACGGGTGCTAGGAATAACTGATTGAGTGTCTTGTCTTGTCTTCCCCCCGGGATGTAAGGATGTTAAGTCCTTGGTGGTCTGGTAGGTCGTGGGTTTACTGACTTTTTTTTTGGTTATTTGCAGAGTCGCCGTGGCCGAATAGCAACGGGAACTCCGGGCAGAAAGAAATTATTCAGCCTTATTTAGATATTTTGCCAAAGAAAGCTCCACTTTTTATCACGGTGAGTTTTTTTTTTTTTTTTTTTTTTTTTTTTTTTTTTTTTTTATAGGTATAAGAAAGTAAAATTGTTTTTATTTAAAAAGAGTTTCATTGTCTTGAATTTGATTTGAGTGAAAAAATTCTTGTCAAATAAAATTTACTTACACAGAAAAATTTTTCAGTTCAAAAATTTTTTACTTAAATCAAGACGCCGAAGTTCTTTAAAATAATTTTTTTTATTTTAATTAAATTAATTTTTTTAAGAGTATGAAAAGTGATTTACATATAGTAGCCATTTTTTCGAACTTTAATAATAAATTTTTTTTTTTTAATAATTTTTCTAAAATGTTCTTCAATTTAATCTACAATTAATTATTTTCCAAAAAGTAGTTTAAAATTTTTCTCTAATTTATTTTTTAATCAAAAAAATTTTTAAGTAAAAAATAAAAAATTCAATAAAAATAATAAAATTCAATTTTTAAAATTAAATTCTTGAAATTTTCTTTAATTTAATCTACAATTAATTACTTTCCAAAAAGTAACTTCTAATTTTTCTCTGATTTCTTCTTTAATCAAAATTAAAAACCAAAAGTTCAATTTTTTACAATTTTAAAAAATCATTTAAAAATAAATCTTTAAAAAAAAATTATTTTTTACCTAATTTTTAAAGAGAACTCTTAAATTACATTAAAAAAAAATCAATTTTAATCACTTAAAACCCCATAATTTAAATTTAAATTCATCATCTTCCTTCAACCAACTCAATAAATAATTACTTACATCAACCTTGTATAATTTAATAGCCACTGAGAGACATTGCTGTGGTAAGCGGTCAGACAGCGAGATTTGAGTGCATCGTTCAAGCAGAACCGCAGCCGAATATTCTTTGGTCCAAAGACGGAAGGATTGTCGAGAACTCTCATAACTACGAGGTTTATTACAGAAACGGAGTCTGTCGACTTGTAATACCTTGTGCCTGTCCATGTAAGTTTATCAAGATAAACTATAAATAGTCATCCCATAAAAAAAAAAAAAAAATCAAAAAAATTACAATAAAAAATTTTTTTTAATTTAGCTGACGCTGGCACGTATGTCTGCACTGCAACAAACAGCCTCGGTTCAACAGCGACATCATCTTCACTCCAAGTCCCAGGTAATAGACGATCTATCTACGGCACTAAATAATGGACACATGGTTACTGGGTCTTTAAATAATTCTTTTAAATAATTTTGGTGGTGGTGGGGGTGGTGGAATTAAAAGCAAAGCTTTCTGTATATCTATTTAATTATTTTATTATATTTAGTAAAATATTAATTTTCCGACTAATAATTATTTCGCTAAAAAAGAAAAAAAAATTGCTTATTATCATTATATGTAGACGATAAATCTTTCTTCATGTAGAGAATGTGCCCGTTTTTCGTAGACTCTTTTACGTAATAATTCATAATTATTAAATTTATGCTTTGATGGATGGTTAAATGTGAATGAAAGGAAAATTTATTGGCGTAGACAACTAACTTAAATCTTTACAAAAATAAACTAGACACTGGGATTATAATTATTATTAATTAATGAGATTTTTTATATAAGATAAAAAATTAAGTACCGTCGTACTTAAATCTGTGTGATTAAAATACAAAAAAAATAATTATTTCTTCTCTGTATCGCTTGTTTTAATTTATTGATTTAATAGCGAGCGACATGCTTAAGACACTTGATTTTTATCCGATGTGATTAAAAATATATAATAATAATAAAATATCTAGTCATAATAATACCTGCGCACACAGTTTAAAAATAATAAAGAAGAAATAAAAAAATAATAATAAAGTAACGATTAAATAAAAGCTGTAATCTTTAAATCTTCGTTACTGTTATGTAAATAAATGTGTGCTTACTTTGCAAAAATATTATTGGGTACTATGGTGTAATGTTTATTTCCTTTATCCTATCAACTGTTTACTAATATTTTTTTCTTCTTTTCTTCTTAAGTAGTTGTATATAGTAAGTAAATGTAGAATTTAATATTTATTATTAAATAATTGTGCTTTTGGTGATAAAGGGTATGCTAAATTTGCATTTTATTTATTTATAAATGAATAAATAAGAGAATTAAATGGTATTAGCAATCTTGCAGTCACTATGTGACTTCCGTGACTTGTGAGCTATGAATAAATAACATTTTGGTTTATTAAATAATGACTTTTGTTAAATTGCACAGCACTTTCTTAACTGTTGACGTTTTTAAAGATATAAGCTCATTCCGATGTTACAGTCATCAAGAGCTTTCATTTGAGTACCAACATGCATTTTTTATATATATTTCATATATACATATATATAATATATATAAATATATGAAAAATTGATGTGGGTACTCAAATGAAAGGTCTCGATGAGTATAACATCGAGATGAGCTTATATCTTAAAAAATGTCAATATTCCACAAGATAAAAGGTAATTTCTTAGTTACTGACATTTTTAAAGAAATAAGCTCATTGCGATGTTTCACTTATCAGAAGCTATCATTTGAGTACCTAAATGCATTTTTGATATATTTTTCATATATACATATATAAATATATGAAATATATGAAAAATTGATGTGG